AAACCCTATGTCTGCCTTGGAAACCCAATGGGGCTCGCTTGAGTTGGAATCAACTCGATGGTAGTAGGTTTTTTTTTTTTTTTTTTTTGGCAGTCATATTGAAGCAAATCAACAAATACCTATGAATGAGGGTTCCAAAAGCACCTGGTGGACACTGAGTCCCTTTTTAGTATTTTGAAAATCAAGATATCTTTGTTTTCAAAACACTTCCCAATTATCTTCCAATAAAATGCAGCAGAAAGGAATGGGAATGAATTTACACTCCAAGTCAGGTTATCCCTGTATAGGGAAGTCCAGCTAATGAGTCTGGGGTCCATCTAAGCCAGGGTTTACTCCAGTACATTTCTATTTCACCCCAGTCCACTTGTTCCCATTTGTCTGCAGCCTGTCTCCTTTTATGCTTCACTAAAGAGTCTCTCAATAATCGTGAAGAACCAATGTATCTTTCCATCTGCATTAATCAGACAAAAGGTAGAGGTTGTCTAAGATTAAAAGTGTCTAATATCTAAGTTTTATTATCTTCCCCCCCTCTTTTTTTTTTTTTGATCTTAGGACTTGAAGGACAGAAAGGAACAAAAGGAGAATCAGGAGTTCCAGGTAAAGGGCTGGTTTCATTTTAATTTCTCAGAACAAGAAATGAAGAAGCCTGCACACTCAGAGAGCAATACTTGTTGACCAACTATTCAGCAGGATGACCTTCCCCCTGAAAACTGCCATGCCTAAGTACCTTTGAGACTAATACTCCAGGACTTTGTCACTCAATCCTGGATTGTTCCTTTGAAAAACCAGGCAAATGACAGGAACTTAGTGTCCTAAGGGGAGTAGAGTTGTGAGGGGGAAATAAAAATTTCAAGAGAGCTGGAGGTACAGCTGGGGATCTCCAGACCTTGCAGCTAGACACAATGGAACTTTTGACTTTCCTCTCTGGTCACAAGATGACTGAAAGATCTGCTCCCCGAAATCTGCTATGGTCTATTTCTATCTCCTCTGTGGCCCTTTAAGAGTCATCGCTTGGACCAAACAGTTAATATACTCCATTGCTAAGCAAAAGATTAGAGTTTGAGTCCACCCAGAAGCACAGCAGAAGAAAGGCCTGGTGATTTACTTTTGAGAAATCAGCCATGGAAAACCCTGTGGTGCAGTTTTATGCCGACATATATTGCGTTGCCATGACTCATAGTTGACTCCATGGCAACTAGTTTGATTTGGCTTGGTTTGGTGGCCCCCTCCAGCCCCTTCTCTTCTCCTCTTGCTGCTTCTAACTAGCCTGTTATTATTATCATCTTCATTTACTGAGCCCTTGCTGATAGTTGGTTACTGAGCTTACACTTCATACACCTCTCAACAGCCCCTGTCTAGTGAGGGCTAAAGCAATTTACTTAGACAAATTTCTTGAGCAATATTTTGTTCTCATAAGCTAGATGTTTTTTTTTTTTTTTTTTTTCTTACTATTTTATTTAATGAGAAATTAGGACCTAGAGACATCACAGCATATTCTCCCAACACGGCTCTTTACCTGCATGTTCTCAATCAACATTGAGGTGGGAGTCAGGGCATTGGAGCCATCTTCCTAACTGGACCAAAGACAGAGGCTGAACAGCTCATCCACTGTTCACAACCCACTCATGAAACACCAAGGCCCTTGGGCTCTCTTTGGGAAGCAGAGCAGAGTGCCTGATGAGGTGGTCTCTCTCCTTTCTAGGTCTTGTAGGCTTGAAGGGAGAAAGGGGAAGCCCAGGCCTGGCAGGTCCCAAGGGTGCACCTGGACTGGTTGGCCAGAAGGGAGAGCCAGGAATGAAAGGTAAGCTCTCTGTTTCTGTATTTTGGGTTCATAGGAGAGACCTTGCTTTAAGGCGTACAGGGATTTTCAGAAGCCAGGCAGACAGAGGTTTAAGGATTCAGTTGACAGCACCCCAGACACTGAGCACACAGATATGAATAAAGCACAGCCCTGAACCCCAGAGAGACAGATGCATGAACTTCACCATGCCATAGACACTGCTGCCACCCAAGACAGTGTCCATGCCTGACTGAATCTTTCCATGAAGGAGATGCTTCCATCCCACTCCATGTCTCTTACCTGTCAAATGCCAGAGGCAGTGGGGATTCAAGGGTAGAATTCTCTCCTTCCATGCAGGAAACCCCAGTTTGATTCCTGGACAATGTGGAGCCACTGCCTGTCAGTGGTAGTTTATGTGTTGCTGTGATGCTGAACATGTTTCAGTAGAACTTCCAGACTAAGACAGACTAGAAATAAAGACCTATGGATCCACTTGTAAAAAATCAGCCAATGAAATCTGATCACAACGTGGATCACAACGGTCCAATGCTACTGTGTATATATGAGTTGGGGGTTGTCTTGGAGGCAGCTGACATCAACAATCTAACTTAAATCCTTCCTGCTGTAGCTTAGGCCCCTTTCTTCTTGCTCAGCCATTGAAGCCTATGGCAGATCCAGTCCCCATGATGCCAGTTTCCCAGGCAAGACTGGAAAAGACAGCCTGGCCTCTGTCCACTCCATCACCCTCCTCCACACTGCTTGCAAAGGAGGACAAGGGGACCTGGCTTGGTTTCCTTCAACTTGTGTATTTTTTTTCTCCTCATGGCAGGATCTCCTGGGCTGAAAGGGATAAAGGGAGAAAAAGGTCAAACAGGTAATTTCTGTTTTTATTTTCTCTAACTTGTACTTGGAAATTAAGTGTGGGGTGGGGAAGAGGCCTTTGTTCTCAAAGAAATTCCTCATTTTAGGGAAAAGCTAATGGTTTCCACCCTTGACTAAAGCTGCCCATGCCATATAGCTATAGTGTAACAGTTTTCCTTCCTGCCTGTCTGCTTGCCTTCAGTCCCTCCCTCTCTCTCCTCCTCACTCCGTCCCTCCTTCCTGTCCTCCTTCCAATTCTTCCCTATCTTCCTCCCTTCATCCCTTATGTTCTTCTTTCCTTCTTTTTCTCTCTCCCTTCTCCCTTTTCCCCTCCTCCATCCTTTCCTTTTCTTTGTTCTTTCCTTTCTTCCTTTTTCCCTCCTTTACCACCTACCTTCTTTCTCTTCCTCCTTCCATTCTTTGTTCTTTCCTTTCTTTTTTTCTCACTTTTCTTTTTTTTCCTCCACAACATGTAGATGACTAGCTGTGTTGGCTCTGCTTGACCAGCCCCAGAGTCAGTGATCCTCTGGCATCCTGCCACAGGCCCATGTGTGTGGAAACTTCCTTCCAGGTTGAGTTGGTATTGTGAGGTGAATCTTCTGGGCTCTGGGGACAAAGAAAGAGGACCAGCCCCAAATCCACCTTCTTTTTCATGACAATAAGAAGGAATCATCTTCATGTAGACTAAGCCAGGAGTGGTTTCCTCCCCTCTCACATGTACTTTTTCACCCAGCCCACTCCTTAGCATCCGTCAGGATCATTGGTGGTGAGACTCGAGGCCGGGCTGAAGTCTTCCATAATGGCATCTGGGGGACCATCTGTGATGATGACTGGGACAATTCTGATGCCACAGTCTTTTGCCGCATGCTGGGTTACTCCTCGGGGAAAGCACTTTACAACATGGTAGCTGGTGAGTGAGTTGGCTCCAGGCCACCCCAGCAGAATGATGGCTTTTCTTCCCTATCAGTGACAACAGAGGCTTCATTGAGGTATTGTGTTGGTCAATGTCCATGTAGTCCTGGGGTCAGAATGACACCTGGCTGAAGGTGTTTGTGAGGGGTGACCCTTCAAAGGACAACTAGAGGGCTGGTACAGGAACAATGAAGAAAAGTTGCAAGTAAACAGTCAATGTTCATTCTGGCTGTCTGGGTACTCAACTCTGAACTGCCAAAAGTCTTTGCTGTGGTAGTTTGTAAGGAGAAGGTGGGAAGGGACAAAGAAACAGATCCAGAGCAGACACTCAAATCAGTGTTGGGAAAGTGTGCTGGGATGCTAGAGACTCAGCCATGTCTTTCAGCAAAAAAAAATTAAACAAAGATGTTCATAGTGGCTGTCTTTGGCCATAAGAGCTGAGGCAGCAGGGACACTAGCCTGATTTCTCCTGCCCCTATCCACAAATGCTCTCTGGTCCTGCCCCACCCTAAAGCACATTTTTGCTTTATAATCTGTGTACTTTAAAATGTACATTTTTTCTCATATAGATTGAGCTTGTTGAGCACACCATGGGGCAAATTACTTTAATCAAAGATTCTGTTATCCTCTGATTTTTTTTTATCTGAAATCAAGTCTATCTGAAGGAAGGGGGCTTGAGAGAGGTAAAAATGTCTCAGAACAGGGTTATGACTTGGTGAAAAAGGCATTTGAGCAAGAGGCACAGCAATTGTGAATTAGTAAGGAAGAAACTGAATGTCAGGAGACCCATAGGAGAAGATTTCAAATAATACACAGATTAAGTGTTAAGAACATGGATAAGACTTTTGCTAAAGGGTAGAAAGAAGAATAGAGACAAGTAATTGTAAAAGACAAACTATCAGGAGCACCATGGACTTGGATGGAGGTGGGAGAAACTGATGATCTATCCCAAATGGGGATAAGCATGTCTAATCTGTTGGACTTGAAACTTTGTCTCCTTTCCCTCCTTGCTTCTTCCTCTTCAAGGCACGGGGCAGATCTGGCTGGATAATGTTGCATGTGGAGGCTCAGAGACCAGCCTATGGCTCTGCAACAAAAACACCTGGGGCTCTCACAACTGCAACCACAATGAGGATGCTGGTGTGGAGTGCAGCTGATCCTGTGTGGTCCTTCATTTCTCTGTCTCATGTGTCTGTGGCACAGATGTGCACCCCATGGAAAGGCAGAGGCTCTGAGAAGTTCCCTGGGAGGAGCAGGGCAGGTTCTGGGAAGTGGTTATTAATAAAGCTCTAAGTGTTGTTACCTAGTGATGTCATTGGCTATGGCTGATGTCACTGAGTTAATGCCCCCATCCTTTGTTCCATTGAATTTTTGCACGTGTCCACACATGCACATGAACACACACAGGAGTGGTGGAGTCTCAATTTATGGCTACAGTGATGGTAAGGGGTGTAAGAGAGACTCAATTGAATGCAGAAGTTAAAGTTCACTTGTAGTCAGAATTGGTCTTGACCATCCCTTAAACCATGCAGGTATAGCGGGAGATATAGGAACTCTCCAGGAGTACAAATGTTCTCCATGTCTTTGGCCATATATCAAATAAAGAGGTCAGCTTGTGTTTGACACCATGCTGTATGATAGATACAAATTGTACCTTTAAGCATACAGGTCAGCTCTCATTAGGATGCGAGCACCATAAATGCAGGGATTTTGGATGATTTGTTCACCCTTGGGTCTCTGTCACTTAGAACAGTAGGAGCTCAGGAAATACTAACTGAAAGAACAACTGAATTAAACCAAGATGGAGGAGTGCATCCCCTCTCAAAACATGGCTCCCCTCTCTCCTTTCAAGCTTCCCCTGAGATATCACTGTCGGAGCAGGATCCCATGATCTCTCTCTCTTCCTTTCCATCTCTGGGCAAGTGTTGTAAATGTTAAGTTGAATGTTGAATCTAGGAGAGTGAAGGGGATGTTTCCCATCACATCATTCTCAAGTGACAATTAGGAAAATTGTCCAATGTAGAGCAAAGTTTAGAATTCAGGGAGGAGCAGATGGAAGGGCCTAGGGATGAAGTGGACTAAAGCTAGCCTGAGTCTCTGGCCACCACTTACCACCCCATGCATAGGATTAGAGCACTCCCCATGGCAACAATTCAGAGCTTCTTCTTTTCAAGACATCATCCAATCACCCAGACCTAAGATACATATTTTCAGAGGGCTGCAGCTTCACAATTCTAGCACAATCATCAAGGTTGTTGGAGGAAAGGACTCTAGCCCTTGACAGCTGGCTGTTTGAATTTGGCAGAAGCTTCTATAAAGATGCAACTTTTCCTGGCACATATGATGAAGAGTGGTAGAGCAGAGAAGAAAGAAGCCATTTTCAGCTATGGTCGGGTTGCTGGGAGTAATATTTTGCAAATATGTAACTAATGTATATTATCACCCACACCCTTAAATCACGATGCCTGCTCGTTATCTCCCAAAAAGCATTTTTTTTTTTTTTTTGCCCAATGGAAGGAAAGGACAG